TAGTAGTAGTAACTACTTAAAGTATATTTATATAAACAAAGTTCGAATAGCATGAAATTCCACAACTGCCAACGTAATACATCTATACATCTCCCCGCCAAATTCCAGATTGTCCCGTCGAATTTCACATCAGGGTTACCTGTCGCAGAAATATCCCAAACCAGTAATTTCTGCTGAACTGTTCCCAAACTCGTAATACTTCACCAAAAAATATGAAACTTTGTACACGGCATCGAATGTACCGTACTTAGACATCGTAAAAATGTAYAGTGCCTACCGCGAAAACTCATCCAGTTACAACACAGTTCAGTAATTTCCGCTGAACTGCTCTCAAACTCGTAATACTTCACCAAAAAATATGAAACTTTGTACACGGCATCGGATGTACCGTACTTAGACATCGTGAAAATGGTAGTTGGAAAAAAAATCCCCGGGAAAAAAAATCCCCGCAAAAAAATCCGCGCACTAGGAAAAAAAAATCCCCAGTTGCATTATACCGGTAGTATTAAATTATTTTATAAATTTTATTATATGAAATATAAAATAAATATTGTATATTATGTTAAAAATTGTTATTTTATAATAAATTAAATATTACTAAATATRTAAATGTATTATATTATACGCATATAAAATGTATGCCATGATGGATAAACTTTCGRSGTTTTGAACAGTATACTCGAAATCGCGATCAAGATGTAATTCCAATTTCCAACTGACCAATTAGTTGTTATTTGTTTCAGTTCCGGTTTAAGATTAGATAGTGGACAACACGCATCCTATAATCGTCGTAAAGAGTGTTTTTCCAATGTAGGTACTCGTACTTTATAGGTATTCAGGTAGGTACCATAGGCGCGCATAGGGTGTGAATTTAGGGGGAGCTGAAATAATTTATAGTACACAGACCCGTGGGGAGCGAAGCCCCCCACTACACCACCCTAATACTATAATAATTGCATTGCAATAATTATAAATTTTATTAAAAATAAAAATAAATATTTTGTAATTATATTACAAGTTATAATAACATGTAATCAGTGGCGGACTGGGAGAAAAAGGCCCTCAATATACTAACGGCCTTTTAAATATATAATATATTTTTTATACGTCATGTGGATGCTATAACGGTCTATACAACGCCTATAATAACTATTTTAGATTCTGAGCGGAGCGATGAATATACTCGTATTGTTTTTACAATGATGTGTGTGTTTTTAAT